GTGGGATGTATTTCCTGAGGGCAAGGGGACACTATGGTATATCTAAAACTGAGTTTATTACTATATTAGTCAGGGTGCTCCAGAGAGACAGACCAGTACTAATATAGATTTTGGTACCAAGAGTGGTTCTATAGGAGCAGAATTTTTTTTTTTATTTCAAAGCAGGATTTATTAAGAGGACAGAAAAGCTCCCACAGTGGGAGAGGACCTGAAGGGGTTGTCCAGAATTCTAAGGATGCATTTCCTTAATTGGTTTGAGGGTTTCTAGAATTGGCTCTTTAAAGTGATTAGACATAAAAACGGGGCACTGATAGTCCATATTGTGAACTGTTTATAATATGCAAGATAAATGCATCAATACTCCTAACTTGCCACTTATAAGAGGCAAAGAATTCAGTTATTCTATATATGATATCTTTGAACATTTTGGGGAAACCAAGGAATATGATGACATTGGCTGGTTGCTCCTAGCACCGCTAGACAAAGTAAGGAAAGAAAAGGATGAGTACAGAAATTCAATTTCTTGTCTCCAGCTCCACATAAATAACCTGCATTTTTAAGTGTGGCCTGGGTCAGAATCTTCTCTCCTGTAGCCACAGGACTGAAATTGCTGAAAATCAAACACAAACCTTCATCTCATGACTGACTGAGTTACTATAAAAGTTGAACTCTTAGCTTGGCAGATTATCCACTGTTAAAGTGAGGGCATTGGTTGGGCAAGAATAGAATCTTGCAAGTTGGGATGGGGACATGAGGGAAGACCCTGATGGCTGGGCTTATTGAGCTCCTAAATTCTGATGAGTCTTGCCACAGGAGCAGTGGCATTTCTACCCACAGCCTTTCCACTTCTGTATTGGGGGAGTGACCTCCACTGTGGCAGTTGCTTAGCAAAACAATGCTGAGTCTCCTCAGGACCCACCCTGTCACCCCTCTTTGCTTCTATATCTATGATTAGATTCAAGTCCCAATAGGCCCTTAAAGGTGTGGTACAACGTGTGACCCATGAAGAGTTGCACTACACCCCACTTCTGGTACCAAAATCTGTATTAGAGTTCTCCAGAAAGACGAGCCAATAGGATATATGAAGGGGGATCCATTTATTTAAAAACCATATATTTATTTTTACATGTTTCAACTTCAGTCACCCTCAAAGTATTCTCCATTTGATGCAATATACTATTGAGGTGCTTTTTTCCAGTTTTCAAAACAGTTTTTGAACTTGTCAATTTTGATGCCTTTTGGTCAAAAAACTGCTGAACACTCAGCATGGTATGAACAGGTTGTTCTTATAAATCGCCCTTCATGATATGGTCAAATATATTGAAAGAGTCTCAAAAAAAAACCCTTACTGAAGCCAATCTCAGCCTCTCACAGTGCTAGCTGGTACATTGATGCTAATGAGTTCCTAGAACACTTATCTAGCAGGGGAAGCCTGAACTACAAAGGGCCCACCCTCCAAAAAATAATTCTGGTTTGTGTTTTTTTTTAAGTCCCCCTCAGACAATCATGTGCCACAAATGATGTTTTGGTCAATGGTAGATCACATATAAGGCAGTGATCTCATTAGATTATAATGGAGCTCAAAATTTCTGTTGCCTGGTAACATAGGTGGCCATGGTAACATCAGAGTGCAACATATTACCTTTTCTATGTTTAGATAATCAAATACCATTGTGTTACAGTTACCTACAGTATTCAGCAGCGCTACACAGATTTGTAGCCAGGAGTGATAGGCTATGCCAAAAAGATTAGTGTAAGTACACTCTATGACATTCACATAGCTACATTGCCTAAGGATGCGTTTCTCAGAAGGCAGCCCTGTCGTTAAGTGATTACATGACTGTATATAGATATACGAGAGGGGATTTACTGGGGAAATTGGCTCACAGTAATGGAGGCTAAGAAGTCCCATGATGGGCCGGCTGCAAGCTGGAGACCCTGGGATGCTAGTAGCATGACACCAACTCCAAAGGCCTGAGAACCTGGGAAGCTGCTGGTTTAAGTTCTGGAGTCCAGAGGCCAGGGAATCGAAAGTTGTCCAAGGACAGGAGAGGAAGAGGGTCCCAGAGAGTCTGGAATTTTTAGAAGGGAGAAAATCGTATTGGTTGGAGATGAAACTTAGTCTACACCTTGAACATAAGGAAAATTTCATTGGGTGGGAAGAATGCAGTCACCTTGAGAAGGTGTATGTCCAAAGAGTTCTTGAAGGGATATTGCTCCACAAAACAGAATTGGTACAGAGAGGCATCAGAGAAATTTTTAACCAGTTTAGAGACAGTGCTTAGAATTTTCTTCCCTAAAATTCAACTTTTCTTTTTCTCTTCCATCTTTGAAAAAGCATTTCAAAGCTTGTCTCAGATTTTAAAAATATAGCTCTTTAGATGTGGAAATTGAAGCAGTAGTGAAATAGCTTGGAAATTGAAAAATATGCCACTTGCCTGTCAGAAGCTGCTGGTTCCTAGAGAGCTGTAGACTCTGTTAGGGCACGACATCAACCTTAGTGATTTTCAGTTTGGAGACTTTCTGTCTTCATTCGTTTTGCAGCAAAGATGCAAACAGACTGACTGTCTGATGTCTGCCCTGAGGAGCAAAGGCACTGTTGTGAGTCCTCCAAATAAGGAGATAATGTTTTCATGTTCAAAGGGGGAAACATCAAAAACTGTTGGAGCCTGTTTTCCTGTGTATCAGTAGGCCAGTATGTACAAACTACAAGTATAGCAAAGAGCAGGAGAAAAAAAGCCATCCTCCCTCATGTTATTACTCCTAATTGATGGTTATCCCTGTGCCAACTTGAGAACAGCTAGCTAGATGAGACAAGGGGCAGGGAGGTGTAGAGCAGAGATGTTGCCCTCTAGAATAAGGGGATGGCAGTGGGGCAGCCTCTTTGAAAACCAGTCTTATACTGTATGTAGAGACTGGCCCTGCTGCCCCACCTTGCAGTAGGCACCTCTGCTCTTACACAACAATTTAGGGTATTGGTTTTTATGTGTTTCACATCAATGTGATGAGGATGGATTTTTGTTGTTGTTGAGTCAGTCTCACTCTGTCGCCCAGGCTGGAGTGCAGTGGCATGCTCATGGCCATTGCAGCCTCTACCTGCTGGGCTCAGACAATCTTTCTGCCTCAGCCTTACAAGTAACTGGAACTACAGGAATGTGCCACCATGCCCAGCTGATTTTTAGATTTATTGTAGAGACGAGGTCTCACCAAGTTGGCTAGGCTGGTCACGAACCCATGGGCTTGGGCAATCCTTTCACCTCGGCCTCCCAAAGTGCTGGGATTACAAGCATAGCCACTGTGCCCAGCCAGGATGGATTTTTTTCATTAAAGAATCTTGCTACACTAGCTAGCCCTTGTCTCATACTATGTTAGCAGAGGGGTTAAATGTAAAAATAGCAATGACAGTTGGTCGTACTTGTCTAATGTCTGACTTTGATAGGACTTCTTCCAGGTTTCCCCGTTGGATATCATGTTTGCAGGTCACTATTGGCAGCACTGTTTGAAAGAGCTAGCCAGATGTAGCCCCTGCTCCCAAGGCAGGCATTTCCAGCTTTAGCAGCAGATCTGCGTGTGCCTTCCAAATCTGACAACTTAAGTTTACAGCAGGATTCTCTATCTCAATAGAATTATTCCATATCAAGTTAACTTGCTAACAGGTGCTATCATCTTGTCGTAGATGATAAGGAAATCCCTGTGCCAAGGATTTGTTAACATTGATATAAAAAAGAGCTTCTCTTAGCTACTCGCCTTAAGTCTTCCCCAATCCTTTTCCCATGTTGCTGCCATACTTACATTTCTAAACCATGAACTTGATTATGTCATAGTCTTGTTCATAAACGTTTGTTAATTCTCCGCTGATTGTTACATACTCTTTTTATTTAGTGCTAGCCTACCCTTCCAACTTCAAAATCAAGTCACTTTCATGCTGGCTGGTTCTCAGAAGCATGCCTTGCAGTTTATACCTTCACACTTTTGTTCATTTTCTACTCCAGCAATACTGTCCTTTTCTTCCCCTCCACAGTTTATTATGCAGGCAAAACTGGCTTACTTGGAAGGTTTAGCCAGGGCCCACCTTCTGCATGAATCCTGTGATTTCCCTCTCTAGGTGCATCTGTTGTACTCCTGTGGATTCTCTTCTTGGAGCACCTGTGGAATTCACTCACCCCAGTTTGCTTTATGTCTTGCTTTTTCACTTAGACAAGAGCTGAACCTGATCATAGCCTGTCAGGAGTTACATGACATCATTACCCCTCAGTTCAAGCATTGAAGTTAATAGGGGTTTCTGCTTACACAGCTTCATCTAAGGTTTTATTTTATATATTTTTTGGAAAAACTATTTCTAAATGTGTTGCAAATGTTACTACCAGTTTACACAAACTTCATGCCTCAGAATGGCTTGTAAAATGATGAGTATTGATATAGAGCTGCTACTAATTTCCTAGTCATTTGAGGAATTTAAAAGAAATGTTTTATCTAATGTAAAAGTTTCTAGTTATCTACAGCATGCATTGTTTTTCATTATTGGAAATGCTGTTTTTACATTAATTATAATGAAAATGCATGGCTGTGAAAGTTGTGAACAAAATTTTTGGAACCACTTACACTTAAATACCAAAGGGTGAGTTTATGTAGATCTTCTACCTCTAATGAGTTTTCCAGAGTCAGGGACAGTGTTTTAATGATCTTTGTATTCCTTTTTATAGGAATACCTTATATAGTCAATAAATTAATGTATATTCAGTAATACATTTTCATGTTCTTATTCTCACCCTTCCTTTCTCTCTTTGTGTAATTATGGAAGGCCTTGCTGTTTGAGAAATTTAAATCTATGAACATTGGCAGATATGATTACAATTAGAGTAGATATAGTTTGGAAAGACTGCGTTCTCACACCTAAATTACTACCTCAGGGGGAAAAAAAATCAAACCTTTATAGAGAAAAATGCTATTCATTTGCACTGTTGTTTATAAATTACTAAGTTAAATTTTTCTTTTTTTTCAGCCATCAAAAATAAGGATTAATTTAGAAGATAATGTACAATATGTGTCCATGAGAAGTAAGTTGATTTCTGAATAGGTTTTAGGTTTTCTAGTTTGAACTTCCTGTGATTAAAATGATTTATTTGAATTAACATGAATTGATGAGAAACTGACATAAAATATATTATTCATTCACTGAAATGTAAGATTTGGAATTTTAGTAAAAACAACTCTTGAGGTTGTGGGTTGAATAACATGCACAAATTCCAGTTTATTATCCATAGAACAGTCTACATTTAAGGATATTTTCCCAAAATTTCTCCTCTGAGAGAAATTTACTTTCCTTCTTGACTCCTACCATAGGTTAATGTTTAGGATATCAGCTAAAGAAGATAGAATGTCAGTTGCTGTAGTTCCCTATCCTTCTGGAGTCTTTACAATAGATTGCCCCATCCCTAATTTCTTCTTAACTTGGTCCTAATCTTGGTACATAGATGGTGCATAAATGCCCAAACAAATTTTATAAATTGTAACCCTTGACCAGGCGCTACAGGCCAGCCTGGGCGACAGAGTAAGATCGTGTCTCAATGAATAAAGTATGTTAGATATTATTATAAATTGATGGTATGAAAGAAACATTTCAAGGTAAAGCTGACCAACTATGGGTAAGAATGTGCTAGGAAAAAATTAATTTTTTTTTTGCGGTTGGCTTTGTTACTTTTGTGTTTATATAAGTATGTATTTTCATTTTTGTGAGTGCTCTGTATGCTCTCTTAACTCTGCCTGTTTTTTTGTAGTTGTTGTTTTGTTTTTGTTCTGTTTTTTGAGTCAGGGTTTCAGTCTGTCGCTCAGACTGGAGTGCAGTGGCATGATCACGGCTCACCACAACCTCAACCTCCTGGGCTTAGGCAATCTTTCTGACAGAGCATTCCGAGTAGCTGGTACTACAGGCATGTGCCACCATATTGGCTAGTTTGGTTTTTTTTTTTTTTAACCTTTAGCAGAGATAAGGGCTCGCTATGTTTCCCAGGCTGGTCTTAAACTCCTGGGTTCAAGCAGTCCTTTTGTCTCGACCTTCCACAGTGCTGGAATTGTAAGCATGAGCCACCACATCCAGCCAGTATCTAACATTTGTTGAGTTGTGCAGCACCCTGCACTGTATTAAGCTCTTTGCATGGATTATCACAACAAGTCTTCAAAATATAGGTGTGGGTTGTCATTCTTATTTTATAAAGGGAGTAAGCTGAGGTCCAGAGAAGTTAGTCGACTTGCTCAGAGTTAGGGTTCAGTCCTATGCTTCTGTTTCTCAAGAGCCCAGAATCTTCAGCACTGCATTAGATTGCATCTCCTGGCTCAGGGTCTAACTCCTCAAGCTGAAGTCGTGGGGTCACTTTCTAAGTAGGCAAGCCAGCTTCCAGACTCTTCAACCCCCAACTCCTCATATGCTTAAAAGAAGCAAGGCAGTAGAGAAGGAATAGATAGGAAGAGAAGGCCCTCGCGGGGCACGTCTTGCTTAATGTCACAGCTGCATCTCCTAGCACTCTGCTGCCCTCCTCCGTTGCTCAGGCTGTACCACCTGTGGGTTTCCTGGATATAACAGTTCTCAAGTGCTGCTTTGACTTTTGACATGTTTCCTCTCCCTTACTTCAGCCCTTCACTGTCGGTGGTGAACCCCCTGCCCTCGTTCACCTTTCTATGTTGTGTGCCCAGCATACTCCCATTAGAAAGCCTTCCCAGTTTCCCGCTCCAGTGACATTTTACTTCATGTTACCAAGTAACTTTGAATACCTGTCTTAGCCCTTATCTCAGGAGATATAAGAGTTCCTTTTCAGACTGTGGAATTCTTTTAGTTTGAAAGGAAGACCTTTTTAATCCTATGTATAGCCCCTCAGCAACTGACATGTTACAGGTATTCAGTTATATTTGTTCTTTATAAAATGACTAACATCATAGGAATGTACTTATCCTGAATTTATAAGATCAGACCTTGTTAATAATTAAATGTATGCTTTTTAAAGTTAGAATTTCTCAGGCCAGGCACGGTGGCTCAAGCCTGTAATCCCAGCACTTTGGGAGGCTGAGGCAAGAAGATTGCCTGAGCTCAGGGGTTCGAGACCAGCTGGGGCAACTCGGTGAGACATCGTCTCTACAATAAATCAAAAAATAAGCTAGGCATGATAGTGTGTGGCGTAGTTCCAGCTACTTGGAAGGCTGAAATGGAAGGATCGTCTGAGCCCAGAGGTTGAGGATGTGGTGGCCATCCCACTGCACTCCAGCCTGGTCAGCAGAGTGAGACTTCAACTAATAAATAAATAAATAAATAAAGTTAGAATTTCTCATTTGTAATCCTCCATAGTTTGTTGTAGAATTTCATCTACTTCCAGTTAAAACTACTTTTAGAATCCTAATTTACTCCTGCTTAATCTTAGAATCCTAATTTACTCCTGTAGGAATGGGCTCCTCAGAGAAGACATTTATGTTATGAAATATATACTTTTGTGCCTGGAGTAACCACCAGTAGTCTTTAAGTTGAATGAAGAAGTGTGGTGGTTCTGAGTAAGGGCATTTCTTACTGAAGATAGGATGGACATTTCTTGTGAAACATACTGACTGGTGTACTATGGAAGAGAAAAAGAAAACAATATATTCCACACAGAATGACAACTGTTATTTAGAAATTATTTCCTCCACAAACCAAGCTCTTTTTCTTAATACTGAACTGGGTGAAAAGAATGATAATACTTAGTTTTGGCAAGCACAAGAAATGAGACCCTCATACACTGCATAAAAGTGATAGAACCCATAGCTTAGAATGCAGTTTAGCAATACATAACAACATTCCTTAAACTACTCTTATGCTCAGCTTTTCCACATCCTGCAAGCTATCTAAAGGAAAAATGAATACAATAACTTAACCACAAGGAGTTTTATTGTGCAAAATAGTAAAGTTGGAGATGGTCTGAATTTCCAATATTGAGATAGCTAGCAAATATTCCATGCAGTTAAATATATAGCCATTAAGAATAATGTTGAAATATATTTGCTGACACATCAGGATGTTCACAATATTGAGTTAAAAGAACGTGTTACAAAATAACATGTTTCTTTTTTTGTTTCCAAAAATTATATATGTGTATTGGCATACAAATGTGTGTGTGCATGTGAAAATCCAAAATCGTCTTAGTAGGTGAGTGAGTGAATTTAAGGGTTTTTTTTCATTTGCCTATTTGTTAATATAGGGTAATGAATATTATTTTAAAATAAATATGCCACTTTTTCTCATAATTGTTCTAATAAAAGACTAGTTTGAGCTCTTGAAAACTTAATCAGACAGGATTACACAATGACGTGGATAGAAATATTAAAATTAAAAAAAAAAGCCCAAGCCTCTACCTTGCATTTAAAGAATTCCTTAACTTGAAGACCAAATGAGAAATTTAAATTTTTAAAAATCACTTCTGATTTCTATTTCTAAGAGTGGTATGGATACAAATGTAAGCTTACTACTTTGATAAGATGCAGTAGATTTTTAAAAATTCACATGTTCAATGGAAACTTGTTACATATTTTAAATACTCCTTTATTTAAATCTAAATTTTCTTTTTTTTTGGATTTGGAATAGGGTGATACATTTTTAATCCAATTTGAGAATTTTATTTCTTAGAAATTAGCTGCGATTTGGTTAGTGTATAGGAATTTCTGTAGATGTCTGCTGTCTGATGCAAGGGGAAAGAAGTGACTTTGTAAGATTTGAGAAATGTTATTTAAAATTTTACAAATGTGTTTATTTTGTTTCTCAGAAGCTCTAAAAGTGAAGCGACCTCGTTTTGATGTATCACTGGTTTACTTAACTCGAAAATTTATGGATCTTGTCAGATCTGCTCCTGGGGGCATTCTTGACTTAAACAAGGTTGCAACAAAACTGGGAGTACGAAAACGAAGAGTCTATGACATCACCAATGTCTTGGATGGCATCGACCTAGTTGAAAAAAAATCCAAGAACCATATTCGGTGGATGTGAGTTGTTTGAAACTTTCCATGACTTTTTTTCTTTTCATTAAATGACAGTTTCATACTTAAAACAAGCTAGATGACATCAATGTTACGACAATATAAAACAAAGTAAGATATGACTTCTTGTTGGAAAAGGATTCTATACATTTTCTTGCATTGTCCCACAAAATATGTACTTTTTTAAAAATAAGTATTTCCTTGGTTCCAGTTGATTACTGATATTAGAAAAATCTGTTAGGGTTGTAAAGCAGTGGATTTCACCCAGGAGTGTTGTAAATGTTAGAGAGGCCTCAGTAGTTCTGAGGGAAGGCAGGAGTGTACATTCTTTACAGGTACCCCAGGTGATTATGATGCAGGTAGACTGTGGATCATACTTGAAATACTGCCTTGCATATTTTTTTTTAAATCGGACTTAATGGCTAAAAGGCAGTTGCTAAAGACTTGACATAATTTGGAATATCCCATGGAAAGAGGACCTTAAGATACTGATGTAAGCCAGGTGCGGTGGCTCACGTCTATAATCCCAGCACTTTGGGAGGCCGAGGTAAGAGGATTACCTGAGCTCAGGGGTTCAAGACCAGCCTGAGCAACATGGCAAGACCTTGTCTCTACAGTCAATCAAAAAATCAGCCAGACATGGTGGCACATGCCTGTGGTTCCAACTACTTGGAAGGCTGAGGCAGAAGGATCCCTGATCCCAGCAGGTCGAGGCTGCAGTGACTGTGAGCCTACCACTGCACTCCAGCCTGGGTGACAGAGTGAGACTCCAAACTCAAAAAAAAAAGATATAGACAAAGGTGTGTATATGAGTGTGCTCAAGCACATAAGAAAAAAGCTGTTATACCTAGAATAGGCAAGTATTTTAGATCAGGAAGAAACAGTTCCAGTGCATAAATACATAGAGACCTTTAGGCAAATGAAAAAGCTACCAGCAAAGTTCATAAAATGACTCTAAATAACTTAGTTACTAGAGGAAAAGGATTCATAAAGGAGATTTTTTTTTCCAATAGCACAGAACTACAGATTGAATTTGAGCATGTTTACTAAATGACATTAAAAAACACTGCAGGAGTTCGGTCAGATTGCCTTCTGAATCACTAATTAGAATCAGATTTGAAAACTGGCAAGCAAAATATAAAAGATAAAGCTAATAGCCTTTACTGTATTTATCTTCTATAAAGATAGAAGGGAAAAAACAAATATCAATTGTTGCCTGGTCATGTCATATTGGAGTATTTGCTAATAACTAAAGAAAATATATCTTTTAACAGCACTGAATATAATCATTATATTTAGACAAAGTATATACACTAGGGAAAAATGACAGACTCATAAAATTTTAGCAGAGGACCCATCATTTAGCTAATACTTTTTTTTAATACGTAGAAACTGGGGTACTGAAAGGTTATAATTTGTCAAAAGTCGTGTTATAAGTATTAGGGCTGAGGCTTAAGCTGGGTATTACTGATTCTTAGTTTAATGCTCTTTTTGCTTCTGTAGGCTGCCTCTACTATTATTAATTTCCAAAAGGTTTATAATGTACTTTTTGGAAAAGTCCTTGTGTAAGGTGTTGAACTATAAATGGGGACAAAAACCAATTTAGGTATGGGAGGAATAATGACTATCTAGAATAACAAGAGGGCAGAAGTTAAGTTGAAGTTCTTAGTTTCTGTCTGTTGTGGAAAACATTTAGGATAAACATTTGGAGAAGTTTCAGTAATCTAACTTGCAGTTACTCTGTAATCTCCTGGGTTTTATTGATAGTGATTTTTTTTTCTTTTAAAGAGGATCTGATCTTAGCAATTTTGGAGCAGTTCCCCAACAAAAGAAGCTACAGGAAGAACTGTCTGACTTATCAGCAATGGAAGATGCTTTGGATGAGTTAATTAAGGATTGTGCTCAGCAGCTGTTTGAGTTAACAGATGACAAAGAAAATGAAAGATATCCTTTAAATCTATACCTTTTTAAAACTTCTGCTTCCAATGCAGATTACTTTAAGTGGTAGGATCGCTTGGAGACTTGATTTTTATTTTGAAGATATAAAATTAGACCTTTTAGAAGTTAAAGTAAGTAAAAGTTGGTAGTGCAACCTCCAACATACATAGATAGTGCATCGTTGACTTCAGCTTCTTTGTGTGATATTTCTTAGGTTAAATTCTGCATGACAACCTCAGATATATGTAACAAACCAAGGTTGGTTGTTACCATTTAAAAGTCAAATAGTGGCATGTTCATTTTTGTAGTCTGAGTACTATACAGATAGCAGTATATTTGTGGGCTTTGTGAAATTCATGTTTTCTTTAATTTGTAAACTGAAGTTTATTTCTGAAACGAAGGGAATTACCATTGCCATGAAAGTGGTTCTTACTGCCATTCAGGTCCACAGAAGCCCAGTGTTGCTGAATGTCAATACCACTCTGGAGCTCGTGTCTCAGGGATCTCAAGGGGGACTGGTCTTTGGTGCTGACCTTCTCCTGAGTTTTCTTGGTCTTGATGCTGCGCTGTTCTTTGCAGCACCCTTTGTGAGGGTGTCACTAATTCTGAGCTATTCCTTTCTTCAAATTTACTTAAACTCTCTATAGCAGGCAAACTCTATCCCACAATATAGTTACTGGAAGAAAAACAAAAAATAAACACTAATTCTTACAGCCAGTGAAAAAAGTCTGTGTAGTTTTAAAAAAAAGGAAGAGAATGCTAGGGAAACTCCAATAAGTCACTTAGTTGATAAAATTTGAAGCAACACAATAAAGACAAAAACATTGAGGTAGTGAGATGGAAAATAATTTTGGATACCAGAAATTCATCATACATTATAGTCCTGAGAAATGTATTCTCTTAAGATGTTTCTACTATTTATAGATTTTTTTTCATTTTAGGAGGTTCTTACCAAGATCCTGAATATTATTTTTCAAAGTTATAATAAGATCTAACAATAAATAGGGAATAGAACAGGAATCAGAATTCCTTCATGAGTTGTTTTTGCATTTGGGACTCAGACTTTATTAGTATTTTTCTCCAGAAATTGTCATCATGGTCACAATAGTACAGCTTAAAAGAATTCTTATTCATTTAGTTTAGTTTAGTTATAAATATTGTGAATACTTCATAAAATCTGATCAATGAGATCTTTTTGCTACTTTTCTTAATAATTTATATTCCATAAAAGCTAAAGGTATTCTAACACTACCCTTGCATTCATGAATTACAAGAGATAAATCATCTTCCAATAAATAGCACTCTATATAGAGATCCTTGACTGGTTTTTACACTAGCATATGTGACGTATCAAGATATTCATAGCATTCAAGCTTTTCATGAACAAATCGTTATTGCAGTTAAAGCTCCAGCAGAAACCAGACTGGATGTTCCGGCCCCCAGAGAAGTAAGTAGTCCTACATGTGTGGAAGATTAAGGAGGGAGGCGGACTCACTGCTTAGGTTGTGCTATATTGCAGTTACAGTACTTAAGAGGCATGCGCACATGTTAGCTGTATGTCTGATACTTTTAAGGCCTTCACACATTTTAACTCGTTTTGACTAACACAGCAGATTAAGTAGTCATTATCATTTTCTTAAAGATGGGGGACCCAGAGCACAGAAACCTGAATTAACTTTCTCCAGATCACTAGAATTCAAATGCTGTTAGTTTGACTTCAAAGTTTGTTTTTCACCATTTTACTGTAATGCTGCTTAGAGGGATCACCAAGAATTGGCCTATCTAAAAGTAAGATCTGGTTTTAGCTAAGGCTTTAGGGAATTAGCTTACTAACAAAACTCAGAAAAGACTAATGAATAAATGAGAACACAAAGTTATACATTTAAAATGAAAAGTAAAATTTTTGTGTAAATGGAAATATTCTTAGCTTCCAACTGCTTAGCACATTCTTTCCTTTGCAGGAAAGTTTGTTTTGAAAGATAATTGTCATCAGAAGGTTGCTTGATAAGGATGGAATCAGAACCAAAGAATATGGCCATTCCTGGGACAAATCATCAAGTCTGACAGCCTGATAGACCCATTGGTGCTCCTAGTGGGGTCTTCTTCATTGCTCTAGGGATATGCCTCCCTCCTAGTGAAGAACATTACCACCATCCTCCTTTCCTTTATCCCCAGCAGACCACTGTCTAAGTGAGATCCTGTATTACTTGACAGTGTATGGGTTAAGGGACATCTTTCTTTTCACGTCTCACACACTCAGATTGTGATGTCTTGATGATATTTCCTAGTTCTGTTTGGATTTAGTTAACATTCCAAGTATCCAAGTAACACATATGTTTAATATGAATTGTTTCACAAATGTTTAAATTCTTTAATAGAAAACCGCTACTCCATCATCACAGACTTTGGGGTTTGGTATTCCAATCCTGCAACTAATGGGTTTTTGGTTTTTTCCCCTATGGTATGAGCTGTTTCAGACTACAATTGCTAAATCTTGCTGAGCTTCTCATTATGTCTGAGGCTTCTCTTAGAGTGCCATTTAAAATCTTGCTCAACCTTCTTGTGCTAGCCATTCTCAGGTGTAGATAAGAGTGTGCTGGGTTCAGTAGAGTCTGACTTCACGAAGATTTGGGGAAAAACCTGTAGACCTATGCAGTGGCTGGTAAACTGGCCTTAGGGTCAAATCCAGCCTGCTCTTGTTTTTATAAATAATTTTATTGTGACATAGCCACATGAACATTTATTTAGATATCATCTCTGGCTGCTTTCACGCTACAATAGCAGAATTAAGAGGTTGTGACAGAGACAGTACGGCTCGAAAAACCAAAACTCTGTACCATCTCACACTTACAGAAGTTGGCCAAGCCCTGATTTAGTAGAATTTGAAGTCCTCAGCTGGCTGCCAGTTTGGAGCAACATATGGGTTTCTTTCATTTAGAAATATCTATTGTGCAAGGTTTACCATTAGACCAGACCAGACCTGATCTTGCATGCTACAAACTGAGCACAGGTGTTCTCCACTTCCAGGAAGCCATAGCTAGGATGACAAGTGAGGTTTTGAGGCCCTCTGAGATCCTGCATCTCCCTGAATTCACTCTGGTATGAGATCACTGAGGTGTGGAGAAGGAGGGAGCAGTGGTGTTTGTTGTGTCCAACCCAGGCCTAACCACATGAAAGGGGAGAAAACAGACTTTATATGACAGTTGAACAAACTCCCAATTTAAAAATGAATCATTTATAACTGGAACTATTCCTTAAGAATTCAGCATAATTCCTAGTAGAAGCATTCAGTTTCCTAATATCTTATGGAAAAAAGTATTTTAATTAATCCTGAGTAAATAAATCTGAAGCCAAAGGGTGGGAAAATCATAGTTAATAATAGTTCTTTTATATATCATTCTTTTTTTAATGTCTTAAATTACATGAGGTATCTTTTGACTTAATCTTTCCTCTTAGTTCTTTCAACCAGACAAAAGCATGGCCCTCCTCATTATCTTAGTATCTGTTCATTGGTCTCTAAATCCAAACATACCCTTATCCTATGAGACTATATTATATTCTAGAATTCTTTGTCATCAAAACACTGACTTTTGACTCTCAAGTATGGCCTTCTTGAAGGAGTCAGCTCCTTGAGCAGAGAAAGACAGGCTCTTAAGTACTGTGGTATTCACATGATGACTCTGAAACCATTGTACAGGATCAAGTAGCTGTCTTTATTGTGTCAATTGGTCAGTGGTTTAATGTGACTACAGTTAAGAGGATGATTTTCTCAAATGTATGATAGAAAGGAAACTATCAGAATTTAAATTTCAGAAAAGTCTCTTAAAATTTTTGGAGTTTGGCCAGGCATGGTGGCTCAAGCCTATAATCCCAACACTTTGGGAGGCCGAGGCCAGAGGATTGCCTGAACCTACAGGTTTGAGACCAACCTGGGCAGCATGACAAAATCTCATCTCTACAGTAAATCAAAAAATTGGCTGGGCGTGGTAGCGCTTGCCTATAGTTCCGGCTACTTGGAAGGCTGAGGTGGAAGGATCACCCAAGCAGGGGTGGCCATGACACTTGGGTGGCTGTGAGCATACCACTGCACCCCAGTCTGGACAACAGAGTGAGACTCCAGCTAAAAAAAAAATTTTTTTTTTTGAGTTCTTGTAAGTTAAAAAAATGATTAATCCTTTCGTTCATCTTGTTGGTTCATGTGTCCTTTGCTAGGACTCCATCACAGTACATATAAGGAGCACCAAAGGACCCATCGATGTCTATCTTTGTGAAGTGGAGCAGGGCCATGCAGGCAACAGAAGGTCTGAAGGTGTCGGGACCTCTTCATCTGAGAGCAGACATCCAGAATACCCTGAGGAAGGTACACATAACAGTTTTGTGATTAGGAAAATTTAAGATTCTAACAATATTTCAAGTATATATAATTTTATGAATGTGTATATGGCCTTAAGATTTTTATTCTTCCTATCCACAAAAACATGAGTTTAAAAAAATTACAAAGTAATTTTTACTGTGGTTTAGAATATTTTTACAAAGTTTGTAGTTAAATTGTGTATAGTTTGGATAGCAGTGAAAACTTAGTATTGTATTTGGTCCCCTGGTGGTAGTTGCTGATAGGGAAGGCTTTCAGTCAAGCAGCAGTTTCACCCAGCCAAATAGCCCACCCTCGCCAGGAAACATCCACTGCTGCACACCTTGGAGAAAGGAAAGAGCTAGACCTGCTTGACCTTGGCAGTCAAATAGCCACTGAACTCAACCAAAAGCCCACCCCACAGGAAGGCTATCCTCATTCGCACATCTGGTCCCGCCTGGCCAGAGCAGCAACTTTGTCTAACCTTAGAACCCAACTGCAGATCCCAGAAAGGGGAATTGTCTAGCCAGGGAGTACATCCTGTGACCGGCCTGGGTAGAAGTCGTCAAAATTCCCAGCCAGCAGCTCCTCTGACAGCAGAGGCAGAAGTCCAGCCAATTAGAGAACTCAACAGGTGCTACCTGCCCAGGGTCATCACCTGCTGGCCTTTCCACAATCAGGCTGGACTGAATTGAGAACACCTGCCAGAGGACACCATATAGAGACCAGAAGAGGGAGCTATCTCCTCAAATGTGCAGACAACAGCACAAGGACACAGAATTGCAAAGAATTGGGGACTCTTGACGCCTTCAAAAGAAAGTAACAAAGCTTTAAAGAGAAGGCTTTCTACATTCTCTGACAGGTGCTTTCAGGTACAAGTTTGAGTTCCAGTCTTATTATTGTAAGACTGAAAAAATTAGCCTTATGCCATTAACATGAGTCCTTGACCAAGGATCTTTATGGGTTTGTTAAAGCGTTGCATTGTATGTTCTGTCTTTCAAATCTTTATTTATAATTTCTTTCTTGTGTGTTCCTTTTCAGAAGAAAATCCTCAGCAAAGTGAAGAATTGCTTGAAGTGAGCAACTGATAGCATTTGCGGATTCGTGTATTATTGAGTTTTTGTTATTTTTTTTTTTGGCATAGTTCATCCTATGTGGATGAATTATTCATCAGATTCAATTCTCAGAGCAATAAATCATCCATGAAGTGCTCTCATTCTCAGTAGCAGCATTAAGGCCAGTAGTATCTTTGAGTATTTCACTACTTAGATTTCTGAATAATTATGGTTTCCACACTGAAAACAACTCTTTTTATAATTATTCACTGCTTTTTGTCAGTGAAATAGACTTCTTGCCTCCTGAAATAACTTCATCAGAAGGAGTACCATGAAAACAGATGGTCAGACCTGAAGTGGACAGTTCTTCATGGACTCTGCCCTTTCCTTCAAAGATTATGTCATATCACAAGAAATTGCCTTACACTGGTTCATGTTTGCAGTTCCTGTTGTACATTGGATAGGTGTACACATGAGTCTTCATTGTGATGTCTTTGTATATATCTGTATAATGTTTAGATTACTTATGAAATATGTCTAAGTGACACTTTTCACCCTTGTACAGCCAAAATAGTGTATATATGGAAAATGACAGACAAATTCTCTAATTTCCTTGGTATCTATAACTTATTAGAATCCTCTGGATGAGGGTTAGAAGAGGGTTTTTCCAGACTTCTACATGTAGAAGTATCATAAATGTGCTATATGTTTATACATTTAGTTATTTTAATATGGCTGCCAGTGCTGAAGTTAGAGTCAGATACTTCTTCATTTCAAGCTGTCTATAGAGTCACTGTGTCCTGGCAGATTGGTGACATGCCCCAACTCTTTAGGGGCAGGTATAGAAATGCTGTCACGTATTAGCTTAATTCATTGTGAGGCATACATTCAATCATGGTTAAAATTAGAAACGATTTTAGGGTTTCAGCAGGTTGTGTAATATGTTTCCATAGGCAGCCTTGCTCTTTAATGAAAGGGGTTTTACTTACAAGTTGTACCCTGCCCTCTCTCTCCAGCTGTCGTTCCACAACTCCATGTTCCTAGCTATTTCTACCTCATTGGTAAGTCCTTTACCACTCTGTGCCTCAGTTAACTGTAGTTTACCATTAGACTGTGAGCTCCTTGGGGGACTTTGTTATGCTCATTGTTCTATCCCAGCGCCTTGCACCACATCCCGCCCGTAAAGAGTGCTCAGTAAATGGTTGAACAAATCAGTGAGTGAGAGAGGGAATTGTAATGTCAAAACTAATAATCCCTGACTTGTCTGTTATTCAAGATTTGTATATCATTTTAATTCATACTTTAAGCCCTGCCTTAGATGAAAGAATTGGAGCAACTTGAAATTCAGACCATGTATACAAAGTTTTAAAATAGAAGTCCAAACTCAAAGTATTCAAAAGTAATACTGAATGTTGAGGACCCACACACCTTCAAGCTCCAGTGGCTTGCCAGTCTGTCCTCCGGCTCCTGTCCCCTTGCTCTAGCCTCCCCACAGCGGTCCCTGCCAGTTGAATTCTGGAGGCGTGGGGACTGCGAACCGCACCTCTCTCCAACCAATTAGTCCCAAGGCTTGTCTTCACTCCATTTTATACAAGAAATTGTTATTTGAAATTAGCCAAAGAAAAGCTGCAGGGGGCACTGTTGATCATCATTGGACCATGGTGGTCCAGTTAGACAAGATAGGGAGAGAGGAGGAGCAGCAAGCGTGGAGGAAAATTAAGCTTTGGACATGCTTGGTGAACGTGGGAGTGGCGAAGCTGGAGGTCAGGTGCTCATGGTCTGAGCTCTGAATAGTAGGTTTTTCGATGTCAGCAGATATATGATGGTTTAAACCATGAGTGTAGGCAAGGTTATCTAATGAGAGTAAAGCAGGAGAAGAGAGGCCCAAGAACATTTGTATTTAAGGGGAAATACAGAAGAAGAGCCTTTCCTGAGAATGAAAAAAAAGAACGTAGTGTCCACAAAACCAACAAAGGCTTTGCCAAAGGTGATGATGTCTTTTCTGAGCAGCAGTTCCTCACTTGTGAAATGTGACTTTAAATGTTCTACATTGCAAGTTGCTCTGATGGTAAAATGAGATCATGTAAGCAAAAATCCTTTGTAAACTGCAGATGTGTTGTTATATAAAAGAAGTCTCTCCATCTTCTGGCGTTTGGTCTCTTCTTATCAGAAGTGTTCCAATAAGTGTCCCATATACTCATTCGCGGCCTCTTCTTCCTCCATCTCTCTGGGCTCACCATCCCCTCTCTCCATGTGCACTCTGTTGCCAACTTGCATGTCTGTTACTGGCCCTCAGAAACCTCAGGTGTCCCATGTTTTCTTCAGGCTCAAGTCCAGACTGGATGTGGAAGGCCTGCAGGTGAGCCCCAGCCTGGCCCTCCAGTCTCGTCTTGGTATTTGCCTTGCAGGCCGCCTACCCAAACCAGACGGGTCTTGCCACTGTCTGAAACACACATTGCGCTTTCCCATCTCTGTCCTTGCTCTTACTCTCCTTCCTGGAATGATCTCCTGTGTTTTAAAATCACATCCTCATACTGGACCTGGCTCACACCCCTCCCTTTGCTGTACTCCTGTCCTGCGTGAAGTGTGTACAGTGCTTGGGGGCCATCGTTTATCCTCGGAAGTTGCTACTGAGTTTTCCCCGCTGGCATGGCATGCTGTCAAAACGTAGGGACCGTGTCTAACATGCACATGCATTTCCCGTAGTTATGTAGTGTTCAGTAAGTTTTTGCTGGTTAATAGATGACCTGACTACATTCAACCCAACTCCTAAGAACTTAAAAAACAACCCCCTAACTTCAAAACCAAACTAACAAACTGAATTTGCAATGGAAGAAAAAAATGACTACCAATTTTGCATTTTGTTAAAAGTTACAGCATACCTAACTAATTGTTCTTCACCTCAGAATAAGATGAACACCTTTGTGCTGTTGTCCAGGGAGAGACTTTAAGCTCCAGACAGTTATGACCCCTTTTGTCCCTCCATTTTGACCTATTTTTGGCAACAGGGCTTTGTGTATCGGCGGGGGTCAAGTTGGATGCCCCGGATTGTAGAGTGATGGCGCCATTGAAGACTGAGGGGCTTAGGGGAATGGATGTGTGTTTGCACATGAGTGATAAGTTGTGTCTCAATCTCAGAAATCTGCCACTTTGTTAACATAGTTAAAAATGTAAATCAATAAAACCACCTAGGTCATCACACCATGTTTTAGAGTTGCCTTTTTCATTCCATTAGTGATTGGCTTACCTTGTCCTCCAGCATTGCAGCTCAGCCATGCCAGGTGTTAGCTGAGGATTAAGGCAGCGCCTTCTCCTGGCTTAAATCTTTCGTGACAACCAAAGATAGGCCTGGCACGTGATTGGCCTTGGGCCCCATTGTCACTGCAGTCAAGAAAGGGGAGATGCTTGGGGCCTTCAGAGGACGGGAGTAGGGCTCAGAGGAGCAAGGGCACATCTGCCAGGAGAAGGTAGAGAAGGGAGTGAGAAACAAGGGAAGAGCCAGGGAGGGAAAGAAGAAAGGGGCACAGGATGTGAAGGAGGGGCGATGGAAGAAGTGAGGAAGAGAGAGTGTGACCTGGGAGGTGGGAGTCTCCAGGCCCAAGGTGGGGGCCAAGCAGGGTGGCCATCCCTGTGGCTAGAGGAGAGGCCAGACTGGAGGCCTCCAAGGCAAGATGCTGGGGCAGAGGGGTGCAAATGACCTTGAAGATACCATTTGTCAAGTTCTGCTGTAGTCTTAAGGAAGGCTATCCTCCATCGTCTGAAAAGACTATTAAAACAACATTCCACCAGGCATGGTGGCTCACACCTGTAATTCCAGCACTTTGGGAGGTGGAGGCAAGAGGGTTGCCTGAGCTCGGGGGTTTGAGACACACCTGGACAACTTGGTGAGACATCGTCGCTACAACAAATCAAAAAATTAGCCAGGTGTGGTGGTGCACGCCTGTGGTTCCAGCTACTTGGAAAACTGAAGCAGAAGGATTGCCAGAGCCCAGCAGGTCAAGGTAGCCATGAGTGTGCCACTGCACTCCAGCCTGGGCAACAGAGTGAGACTCCAACTCAAAAAAAAAAAACAAAAAACAACTTCATTTTCCAATTAGATATTTGAGTGAGGCCGGATTCTTCACATACTTAAGCCAAACAACATACCACAACAGAATAAATCCAGAAGCAGATATGAAATTCCATCTGTCTTCTATTAAGCCAGATGTTAGAGATTTGTGGAAATGTAAAATCATGGTATTCTCACTGAATTGTGTTTGTCTTGGAAAATGTAAGTTATGTTTCCTAAAAATATGTAACATGTATTGTGTTTATTATTTTTAGAGGAAGTAATAAATGTAAAATGTCTTAGTTTTAATTTGCTGTACTTTAAATATCCATTGAAATAATACATGTAAGCAAAAGCTTTGAGGAGTCTTTAGTATTTTGGGAGTTTAAGGAGATCTGAGACCAAAAACAGAACCGCTACCCTAACTTTTTCTGCCCGGGGGCTGGTCACTACAGGGCAACCTCCTCCTCTCCTTGAGAGAGCTGAAGTGCTCATAAGTCTTGGCCTCAGGAGTTGTGTGTGTGTGTGTCCTGAATTGCACGGTTTACCTGTCTCTGTAACTGACATAATTTGGGGTTCTCAACCTCAAAACTGCTGACACTTTGGACTGGATAAGTGTCTGAGTTTATCTTGTGCATTGTTTAGTGGTATCCCTGTCCTCGACCCTTAGATGCCAGTGGCACTCCAGTCACAACAACCCATACACACACACACAAACACACACACAATATGCTCCTTCCTTTCTCCAAACACCACCATGGCTCTAAGGATAAACAAATGGACTTATACAGTGGCCAACTACTCTCAACAAAAGCCCTGACCCCACTGGCTTTACCCTTGCTCACTGAGGCTTTCTAGTTCCCTTCCTTTATTTTCCACAAAAGGAATTGTGCCCAGCCAATCATTCACACGATTTGGAGCTAATGTTCATGAAAATTTAGGCTGTAGGAAAAATGACCCTGTACAAAGGATGTATGATAAAAGAAGAGTGCTTTATCAGAGCTATGTTAGCATTAGCTTCCAGGTAGAACACTGAGGAGAATAACACTTTTGGCCTCTACCCCTCACTCAATCACCTCTTCGAAGAAAAGGAGTAGCTTCTCTGAATCTGGAAAAAGGAGCTGGATGTTAAAGGCTCCATCTCTTCCTGGCTTCCTCTCTGGGAATTTCCTGTCAGTGGAAATACACATTTTGATTTGCTCAAGGTTGTTAAGTTATGCTGGTTGTTCTCAACTAGGAAAAATTTCACTCCACAGGGAATATATGATAATGTCTGGAGACATTTTGGTTGTCGTGACTGGAGTGCCACTGGCATCTAAGAGTCGAGGACAGGGATCGTGCTAAACAATACACAAGATAAACTCACAACACTTATCCAGTCCAAGGTGTCAGCAGTGTTGAGATTGAGAAACCCAAGCTATGTCAGTAACAGAGACAGGTAAACTGTGCAATTCAGGAGAGAAATGTCAACAAATCCTTTTGTCCACCAATCTAAAGTCACATCTCCAGTCAGCTTTATTAGCAACAGTAGGGACATTTTGGCCTCTCTTGTTCAGACTTCTATGTCTATCAGTTGATTCTGAACACGGAAGGGGAAGGGATATTACTTATTGGGAAGAGAAGTCATAACAGACTTTGCATTGGGGCCCCATATTTGTAGGGATTATATTCATCTGCAAGTAACAGGGAAAACCCATGTGACTATGGCTTAAACAAGATAGAAGTTTATTTCTCTCTTACATTTAGGAAGTACAGAGACAGTCCAGAGTTGGGGTTACTCTCCAAGAGGGCGGAAACCAGGGTTTCTTCCAGGTGGTTGTTCTTCACGCTTGGTTTGAAGAATAAGGCCACTTCAAAATCCAAGGAAGTTGTTAGAGTCTCCAGCCCTTAGTAGTATGCATTGTGTCTACATACTAGCCAGCAAAAGGCATGAAGAAAGAGAAGGATATACTTCTTCTTAAGGACACTTCAGCAAGTTATGACCTCACAATAACTGATATCTATTGTTCACAGCTTAGCCTCTTGGAAATGTAATTTTTTTTGGAGGGATGGTTGGACAGCCATATGCCCAGTAAACAACTATTGCAGTTAAAGAAGAGAAGAATAGGTATAGGATATGGTCGATATCCTAGTGCTTCCAAGAGATTCTCCTCTGCCTCTGGCACCAAAGGACTGAACCTCTTAGTGAGACCATGTAACTAGTTCCAGCCAGTTGACTATTAGAGAAAATGACATGTGGCAAAATGACTACAGTCTCCAGGATCTCTTCCCTGTCACAGCAATCAAGAAAGCCACCGGTTTTAGATAATGTCGCAGCAAGGCACTGGAGCTTCCATTGGCTTGGATCCCTGAGAGACTGTGTGGAATAGAGCCTCTGCCAAGCTACATGCAATGTGAGATGTGTTAAAGCGTCAAGATTTATTCAAGGTTAATTTGTTACTGCAACATAACCTAGCCTATCCTAACTAATATGTTGGGGCACAATTAGCAGTCTCTGCCATAGGTCAGTGAGTGAAAAATAATGCAGTCAAACAGCCTCACACCAAACCAGTGATATAAATGCCTTTGGCACACTTGGAACTGTTGACAGTTGCTTATGATGGACAAAGTTGAAATATTGTTCACTCAGTCAAAAGTGACTCTGAATCTATTTGTTTGCAACTAATGTAATGGGAGTCTAACACAAATTTGTGTTATGATTGCCATCTAGCAGAGATGAACAATTATTTGTCTTCAATTAAGCAGATGCTGCAAGAGAGTAGAATTGACTTTAAAAAGACATTTTTGGAACCTATTCTTGTTGATAAAGTGAATTCATACTAATTTTTACATATCAAAATCTAAATTCAGAAATCAGCATAGTCCTGGCCATGTAAACTTTTCTGTTCTTGCCATAATCTCATCTGCAGAGATCTTGATTGTCTTGATACGCCTCAGAACCCCACATCATCTGTGATATTGGACCTGAGCAGGAAGTAGTAAGTACTGTAGATGTATTAGTAAGACATATGTATGCCAAAGGGGACAGATAAATGCACTCTTGATACCAAGGACCATATCAGTCAGGGTCCAGTAAGAAAACTAGGATACAGT